TAGGTGTTCCCCTTTTCCTTCACCTGAGGACGGAAACAGATCCAGTTTCCGAAACGTCATGTTTTTATTTGTTATCTTAAAAACTAGGACGATGGATAAAGTCCAGAAACCCAATATATCATTCACCATTCTGTTTCCTACTTGGTTTCTTTCTTGGCTTTTTCTTGAACCCTGAAGATGGGTATAATATGTTCCTCCAGACCACTGATACATTTCTACTGTCCTACATGATATCACATTACATTAGATAGTATTGTCTGTAGTTGTCATCATGAAATCCTGAATTTCATGTAAGAAAACAGGCTGGTTTTTAAAAACTCATCACTCAAGTGCTGATGGGGGTCATGGTGATATAATAATAACAGACACCACAGAAATCCATGGAGACAGGACATTTTGGAAACCCCTATATAGGTGATTGGCACTGTGGCCAGATTTTGAACGTGAAGATTATGCAACTGCATGGTATCCGATAAATGAAGGAACAGCTAAACAGTTTTATGCTTCTTTTCAGCCCAAGATTTGACAAAGTTGGATGTATCTCATAAAGTAGACGACTCCAGTGGGTCCATAGGGAGGCGTTATGCTCGGACAGATGAGATAGCCATTCCATTTGGAGTGACTATTGATTTTGATTCTCTCAAATCTCCACATTCTGCAACTCTGCGTGAGCGTGATTCCATGGCACAAGTTAGAATACCTGTAAGTGAGGCCTTTCAGGCACTTAGTTGAAACTGGGCCAGCTCGCCTCATTCAGAAGGTTGCTTTGGTCACCAAATGTAAAACAGAAAGTAGAAAGTGTGATGACAGAGTGGGACATTGTTTAGCTTTAATAATGTTAGGTGAAAAGTATCAGTTATAGTACTCCCTATTATGCTTTTTTTTTTACCCTACTTTTTCTTACATCCAAATTTTAACTCAGTACTTCATTCTCAAATGCCCTCAACTATTTTCACCATACTGAAGAAAACCAGGTCTCATAAGTCTTTCCTAGAACTTGTTTTGTGCTGTGTTAGAATTGCTTTGGTTAAATTGGTGTGAGGTGAAGAAAGTGAGTAGGGTCACATCAAGGAACATCATGTGAAGAGTTGTGCAGGGCTCAGTTGTGCTTATGTTCTCAAGGAACACGAATTCTGGATAAAGTAAAAAAACAAAAGTAAGTAAGTAAAGCTATCCCTGTACCAGGCCGTGAAGGCCGATAGGGTTGTGAGATATTGAGGGTCCCACACTATCTAGACAATTGGCTCAAAGATGGCGGTAACATTGTCAGCCTTACGTGCCGGCCACGCTTTACTCCCCACAAATTCTGGATAGAACTCATAAAGCCTATTTCAAGACCTACAAATCTTTTGTTGTTAATGCCATATGTGGTCAAACAAATTGAACTGTTACATTATAAAGTTGCCACGATTATACAGTGAGGAGGAGCAACCATAAATAGGCACCATTCATAAAATAAGGCTTTTAAGTAATGATTTTAATTTGGCAGTCACCTGCCTTGTTGTCAAAACCTTTATTTTAAAATCATGCCGGTTTGTATGTTTCAGCTTGATGACCTACCAAAAGTGGTGCGTGATTTAGCGTATGGGAAGACTACTTGGAGTGCTGTGGAATATATGTTCCCAAAGTTTGAGCAACAAGAATCAGTAACAAAAGCTGCGTGAGTGGAGTGGGGATATTGTTGATACATTATAAAATGCCACAATAAACATAAAATTAACAGTATGCACTTTTTTAATTTCCTCCTCCATTGCAACAAAGAAGTTAGTGTACCTTACAACTTTCTCTGTAGTGCCCATATTGTGATATCACAGTATGATAAAGACATTTTGGTGATAAGCTTATGTGGCTGAAACAAGGCAGGTAGTGCAATGGGAGACTACCAGGGTCAAATAAATGCCATAAATTTTGAGGAATGGGGAATAAAGAAATTAATGGCTCATCTTCCCCCTCACTAATTGTCCTTGACATTGCACCTTATTACTGTCTCCAGACTGACAAACCATCATCACATGCAGTAGAGGCAGACATGACTTCCTGGTGCCACAAGAATGGTGCGAACTGTAACAAGACTGAGAAAAAATAAGCGCACAACCTCCAGTTGAAACTCATACAGTTGTTATGACTATTTCCTGTGTAATTTAAATGCCACAGAACTCCATGGGCCAAAATAAAGAGGACTATGCATGGAAACAATCATAAGAGACCTGAGGCTGCAAAAATTACAAGTGAAAAAGATGGAATGGCACTTGTGACAAAGGAAGACAGGGAACAGTTTTATGAACACAGAAACAGTTGAAAACCAATATTGGAAAGGAGATGGGAATATTCCAGAGATGACAGACCATACTGTCATTAACCTAGGTCCTGGCAGTGACAGTGATAATGACTGTGAGAACAGTTATGCTTAATCAAGGTGAAACTGACACTTAGTACAGTAATATTATGCTGGATGAAGACAGTGATATGACACTTGCACAGCCACGGCAGAGTTAAGCAGTGAATGTTTTGGCTCAGGTAGCAGCAGCTAAGCCATGCTTTTAATGGTTCAGATTTCCTCCATTCCTCACAAGTCTGAAGATTAGTCTTTTACTGTAGCCTTAGTTTTTCTTACTGTATTTCTGAACACATCTGATACNCATGTTTCAGATTCCTCAGAAGTCTGATACCTCCATGTGTGTCCACAAAACAGTTATGTTATCCAAAATTTTGCATTTACTTAACCATAATCACGGTGGTGAAGACAAAAATGTATTGTTCCTTGCACCTCTTGGATTAAAGAGCATCATTAGAATGGTACATGGTATTTTCCTTACATGTCCATACTTTATTCATTTATTTTTACAAAACAGTCAAGTTCTGTTCCTACATAATCCATTCCAATATGTTTCCTGATGTTACTGCTCCTGCTATACATGTTCAAAACAAATTGGCAACACTACAGAATCTCCCTACTCTTTCTTGCCAAACATCAAGAGATATTAATCTTACTATAACTGAAGACTAGCAGCTATTAGCCACTCAGTCCCATTTCTTAATGGAGCCCATGCGTTTACTATAGTTGGTGAGAATGTTTATCAAGATACAGATAACATTCATGCAACTGTTATAGTAAAGTGACAAGTCTTAACTAACAATGTATTTTGTGAAAGTCTTTCCATATTTAATTAAAGTAAAATGCAACAGACATACTATTTCTATTAGTTTTACACATATAAAATGTGTAAAAAAAAACAGTCATACCAGAATAACAGAAAAGTTCCACTGACAACTCAGTCAGTAGATCAAGTCCTTGCAGTAAGGTGCATTCACATTTCCTTACCAAAGGTCACAACTGCATTCTCATAAAGCTTGAGGTACTTGATCCTACATATCCTGCACATGAATTAGCACACTGCTTAACAACAGAGATTGCTCTCAGATCTCTCCTTTAGGAAAAGACAGGGACCATTGAGAATGTAGTCCAGCTTGATTGATTATTAATGTTTATATAAAAAAGAGGAAGCAATTCAAATGCTTCTATGTCAATTGTACCATGTAAAGTTTTCTTCTTAGTTTGGATCCATATAAAGATGTCTGCACACTTGTGATATTGGTATGTCTGAGACAGGAGGTATACCCCCTTCAGGTACCATTTTGTCCTGTAGGCTGACTGCATGGGGATCTGTTACTGTGCGAAGGTCACCAAGTGGTGGTGTCATGGTGAGATTGATAGCAGGGTAAATGACAGCACCAAACAGTGCAATTGCCAGACCAACATGAATCGGTATAGCAATGGCCCAGTACTTCTGTGGCCAGTATGTAAGTCCCAGAGAATGCAAGAAACTATCAGGAATTATGGCCCAAACAAAATAGAGTGCAAGGGCTGAATAACAGCAAAGATACAGTACAAAGCCATAAACAGCTCGGCTTGGAGTGGGAGCAGGTGTGTGTTCTGGCATTGTCAAGTCTGCAGAAGTTCACACGAACATGTTACCACAGTCTTCAAATTCATCCAACCAGGCATTGCATGCCACATTAACTTCTAGTAATGGCTGTACTCTTCACTTCTTGCTGGTCCAAACTGCTCCATTGTTTCAGTAAGCAATATCAGGTTCTCCATAAGTGAAGTAAGAGAAACTCGCAGCTCACTGGCTTTGGAAGCACACAAACCTCTGAAAAAAAAAATACACAAAAATCAATGCTATGTTGTAATTTAAAGTTAGTGGCAGAAATGAATCTGTGGGTTGAATGCATGCCCTACAAAAAAGTAAATTAAAGTATTATAAAACTGCTGTTTAATTTTAAAGAATACTGCCACGCCACAGCTTAAGCGGTTAGTCGCTGGCTTCACACTGCTGCGGTCTAGTCAAGTGGGATTTGTGATGGACAAAGTGGCACTGGGGCAGGTGTTCCCCAAGTACTTCAGTTTCCCCTGCCAATCCTCATTCCATCAAATTCTCCATAAGCATTATCACCAGTACAGGTACAATAGGACATATGGAAGCCGACGTGCCGAGGGGACCTAATATGGATTCCACCTCACACTATATGAAATCTCAACTATTGTACTCTACTGTAATCTACTGTAAACAATTGTAGGTATTGTAACTTTATTCTCTTATTGTAATCAGCCAATGTACAGTAACTGACTTGTCCTATATCATGTAACAATGATCTATAGAGACAAAATAAATAAATAAATTATTAAGTGATATAAGAGGCCCTGCAATGAACACTCAGTTTTTTATTCTTGGCACGGAAACTAAAATTTTTGTCTGGCTCTGTGGCACATCCAGTCTCCTAATGAGTATCATGGAGCTCTTTCTCTAGTAGAAAAGGCGGCCACAATGTGAAAATGGCTGTTCACATCTGCCTACCACCATGATCAAGAACCTCAGTGTTCTCTCTGTATTTAAAAAGGTGAATTGCTTGGGTATGTGAGAAACATTACTCTGATCATACAGCTGGCATTGCACTAATATCACTTACATATGGGAAATAGTGAGCTACAGACACTAAGAACATTTGCTTGTGCAGATCCCAGAACATGAGCTTGAGCCAACCGATGACAAACTCTACCAAAATTGTATACCACAATATTAAACTACTATAGCAATCACTCTATTACTATTTGTATAACTTGAATTAATGGAAATTGTACCCAGTTCTTTGGACTAAGTAGATGGAAATACAACTCCTTGGTTCTTAATATTCTAAGTTTCCTCACATTTTTAATATATTTCCTTCCAACTGTATGTTCTTCTTCACACCACTTCTCTTTGGCTCAGGATCAACTCGCAGAACCTGATATGCTATATCTGCCTCCCTAATTGATGGGAATGGTACACTAATTGTGCTGAATTATTAGTTAAGTCATACATTCTGTAATACTGGCCTATGCATAACAATAAAACCACACTAACTCCACAGAGCTGGGTCCTTGTGAAGCCACCAGTTGTGCAGTTACTGAAGAATTTCCCAACATTTTATAAGTCCTCCTAAGGTCCCTGTCCTCAGTCAGATGCAGTCCATACCACCCCTCCTATCCCTCTAAGATCCATCTTAATATTATCCTCCTACCTACATCTAGGTCTTTCTAGTTGTAGGCCTTCAGGCTTTCCCAACAAAACTGTATATGCATTCCTCTTCTTCTCACCCATGAATGCTACATGCCCTACCCATTTCATCCTCATTCTAGCTGGAGAAGAGATTATAAACCTCCTAATTGCACAGCTTTCTCCATCCTATCACTTCATCCCTTTTGATTCAAATATTCCCAACGCCATGTTCGTCCCTTAAGTCACAAACGCATTACCCTAATTGTCTCCTTGATTTCCATCTGAATCAAAATCTGACCTGTTACTGCCATTCCCAAATATCTGAACTGTGCCACATTTACAAAGGCTCTATCAACTGTCTTCCACAAAGGCACATGGCTAACGTAATCAAAACATTGGTCAAATATGTTTCGACCAAACATCACCTCTTATCAGGCTTACATTTCTCTAAAGTCTAACCTTGCATACCACCTGATCGCTCTGTCCATCCAACACCCGTATTTGTTCTTTAAATGGGTTTTCATAATTACTAGTGCAATGCATAGGCCAACACGCAAAATACCAAAGGATACGCATTCAATTCACCTATCACGTCCATATTTCGTATGTACAATAATGCGTGAAATTTCTCTTTTCATAGCGCTCCATACAATTTACAAAGTAGCCATGGGTCACTAAGCACGTTCCAACTGTTCCAACTATTGACAACACACCTAGCGACACCTAGCCAATCCACACTCATCGCCCCTCACAGCGCTCACAGCTGCGGACGGTACAGGGTACACGCACGAATTACTAAATTCAAAGGAACGTACCTAAACTTCACAGTTTTTCGTGTTGTTTCTGATTCTGCAAGTAGCCAATAATACCGAGAGGTATCGCTAGTAGTGTTGTTATCAGTGGTCCTCACCGTCCTGACCCATTATCCTATCGCTAATAATACTGAAAGGTACCACTAGTCCCACTAGTAGTGCTATTATTCTTACTTGCCTTAATCTCTGTCATGTTCTGCACTTCTACACCTTACCAATCCCTGTTCTACGCAACGTGTTGTGACGTCACTAGAATAATTGGCGAGAACGATGAGAAGGGGTTGAAGAGAGAATAGTGTTTCGTCGATTTGTGCGTGTAGGCAGTTAGTCGAAACAGGTGCTGAGTAAATTTTGGGTTTCAGGAATAATATGTGATCTGCTTTTCTAGTAAGGTGTTCATATTGTGCATCAGTGACAAGAAATGAGTGACATCGTGCAAAACAAAGCGTTAAGGATGCTTCGCAGCTTGCTGTCAGTGCTCATGGTCATTTGAGTGAAACAAATGGCCTACTTAATGAGGCTTTCTAAACTGGAGTAATTTAATAGTCTGCACAGAACTTACGGTATTATCATGTTTACTTCATACAACACCATAAGTTTATGTAATTTTGAACTCCTCTTTTTTTTTAACAGTTGGCATTTTAGTTATGTAGAGTGTTAATTAGAAAATCTGATTTCAGGATCAGAGGTGAGCCCTGCATATCATAATGATAGTGTTTACCTATATAAAAGCGTCATATTAATATTGTGGCAGTTTAACGGCTTCATTTTATACATCGTTATGAAGTGGTGGGTGACCATGGAAAGCATTTTACTTTTCATAAGTGATTTTTTTTGTACTGATTTCTTTGCTTCATGTGTAAATTCTCACTGAGTTAATGCAAAGTCCAATTCAGAAATATTGTTTATGGCTTTACAGAAATCACTTTTGTATGAGGAACAAAGGCAACAACATTAAAATATTCTTCTTATAAAAAGATCTACCAGAAGGTACTCAGAAAAGAGAGCCCTTAGAAACTTGCATAACAAATTATATACATCATATGCTTCCATTTTCATAGAGTATGTACTACTTCAAAAAAAACATGCAAGTGGCAACATAAACTGCTTTAAACCCACTCATAGTCAGTTACAAGACACAGACCTGGTGTTAATGTACCAATTACTGATGTTAAAGTCTATCAAAGAGCAGTCTGCTGTTCAGGAAGAAAAAGTATACAGAATCTCAAAATTGAACATATATATTTTTTTACAATCAGTGCAACAATATTTCATTATTTATTTATTTTTATAGCACCCACTACATATTTCATATACAATTTGTGTATATGCAACAGGATACGGTCCTTGAAAATATCAAAATTAAGAGCTTATCTATGATAGACAGCAGTTTATCAAAATAATCCATCATGAGTCACACTTCTTATTCTATTGAAGAATTAGATTACTAAGGAATGAGCAACACTATAGTGAAGCATATAACTTAAGCCTTTATTTAATTGTCTCTGTGTACACAAATTTATTGGGGACGCGGTAGCGTAGTTGGTTGATGGGCTGTGCTAGAAGCCGGAAGGTCATGGGTTCAAGTCAGTTGACCTAATCCTTCCAGCCACACTAGGCCCTGTGGTTTACTCAGCCTCTAACAGAAATGAGTACCAGGAATTAATTAAATAATTTTCCTGGGGAGTAAAGAGCAGCTGGCACGTAAGGCTGACAACCTTACCGCCATCTTTGAGCCAATTGTCTAGATAATGTGGGACCCTCAACGTCTCACAACCCTATGGGCCTTCACGGCCTGGTGCAGGAATAGCTTTACTTACACAAATTTATTAGTCAAAAGGATGAGAACGATCTCGTTGAATGTTCCCACAGTATTTTGAATAGGTGGAAACTGTTGAACGCACGTGGCATTAGCAATGGTTGAGGTTGCCATTTAACATTTGAAGAGGTATACATTGCCAGGTATTCACCAAATTCCTAAGTAACTAATCAGTGATGTTTTAAGATCTACAACCATATTAATTATGTTGGGAATGAGGGAGAATTATATTGTAATGTGGATGGACACAGCGTTGCTAGGTAACTGACCACGAAACACCTCATAAGGCAACGATGGGAGTGCGGCATTTTCTATGGAGTCCGTGCCACGACCACCAGTTGTAAAGTAACTCTGATGAGTTATACTAGATATAGGGCATAATCTGCTGGACTGAGCCTGGACTGATATAGGCCATGTATATATTTAATACATTCATTATCATGAATTAACATTAACAGGCGCAGTACACTTTAGAACAGTAAAAGCAACACAAGACGCCACGAACAAACACAGGACGATACCAAGGTAGGATGAAACAACAAAATCCTTAAAATATATATGTATATATACAATAGGATTGCTGAAATAATACAATACCCATAATATATTTGCAGAATCTCCTTCTCAAGATAGACAGGCGGCACAGGTTCAGCCCCTATCAAGAAAGATGATAGGAGAAGGGACACGAACCTACTTGGTTTATAAATTGTAACTTAAATAACAAAGTTTAAAAACTTAATATACCAAGAAAGCTGCTGTAGTTGTGGAAAAGTTGGATTTTGTATATATTGTGCATTACAAACTTTGTGTGTATATGTATTTTAACACTCAAAACACCCATTGTGATAGTAGTTTCCAAAAAAGTATCGATGTTCCCTCTGATGATGGTCTATAAGGACCGAAACATGTAAGGGCTTTGAGTTTTCAAGTAGTAAAAACTCCAATAGTCACACTGGACGGAGTTGTTTTGTCTTTGTAATCTGTTATCATGTTTAACATGTAAAATGTAAATATCCTTTACATTATGACAATGACTTACTACTACAGTCATGACAAAAGACAGGCCCGTCCTCTCGTCAGAGAGGGCGCCCCACAATAACTAGACCTAAACTGTCAAACAGTCATAAATATCTGGTCATGAGCCCCAGATTGGGCTCGACACCAAGATTGACTGACTGACTGAGCGTCAGTCGCAATGTGACTATGACTATGACTTTGACATATGAGTTAGCTGAAGTCTAGCAGTTGCCGAGAACACTTGACCGAGATCAGTGGGAAATGTGATAGTGATGAAGAAGCGTCTAGAGGACATTATAAGTGACAATAATTGGCACACTGTGAATTGTCTAAGTGTAAAAGCGAGTGCCTAATAAACATTCCCCAAATCCAAGTTATTTGTCGCGTCACACACCCAACACGCGACAACTGGTGTTACAGAAGTGGGATTGAACGTAAAACACGCAATCAACACGCGATTTAGACAAACAAAAAATGGTCTCACAGAAGATGATGGAACTCCTGCTGAAGGAGATAAGAGCCGGCCAAGAAGCCGCAAAAGCCGATATGGACGCCAACCAGCCCAAGGCGGACTCCAAGTACGAGAAGATGACGACCAATACGAGGGCCATGCCTAGAGGGAATGAGATCCGGCCAAGAACAACTGCTGGCCAACCAGGCAAAGTGATGGCCTGGCTGGAAGACAAAGAGCCGATCTTAGAGGACAGGAAACCTGAGGTGGCCCAAAAAGAAGAGGTCCATAAAGAAGACACCACAGTGATGCCGGTCAGAGGACCGAAGAAGAAACGGCATAAAGGCCGAAACTTAGCTGCAGGGCATCACGTACAGCTGGAAGAAAGGATCCGGGGAAGTTGTGGATCCCAGAGAAAGAAGTTCGCTGTCACCTGCATGGAGGCGACATAGGAAAAGTGTGTGCATGCCAAGAGAAACTGGCTGTCACCTGCAGAAGGACGACCCACCGTGCAAAGGTGGCACGGTTTAAGGAAAACGCCGTCGGGAAAGTTCGTGCCGGCGACAATGTGGTACGAGGAGCCATGAAAGAACGGACTCTCAGGAGGAAACATCAACCGAGACCTGAATGCAAAAGTGGAATTAAGGACCGAGGCGGTAAGCGGCCGCTATATGAGAGAAAGAAGAGGGCAACCAGGATGTTCGGCGGGTTGCGGAGAGACTCGACGCTGTGGGGGTATCGGCGTCCTCCGGAGCGGCAAAACGAGGATTGGACACACAGAAGGGGCCGACTCCCTCCGAAACGAAAAAAAAAATGATAACAGCGCATCGAGGAGGAGCCGGTAACGTAGAAGAACCGGCCTCTGCAGCGAGAGAGAAAGTTAGGGATGAATGTAATACGTCGGGATCAACGAACGCTGGACCATGGAGCTGCTCGGGGCGAACACCCCTGAAGAAGGGGGGCGGAGGTGACGCCTGGAAGATGAACACCAAAGAAAGGGAAGTACCGTTAGCCTGTTCGGGACGAACAACCTTTAGAAGGGAGCAATGTAACGTGGATGGACACAGCGTTGCTAGGTAACTGACCGCGAAACACCTCGCGACCGAATACATGGAAGACAACAATTGGAGTACGGCGTTTTATATGGAGTCCGTGCCTCGACTGTTGCTATGTAATCGGTCGGTAAACACGTTCCGACAGTATAGGCTGTTTTCTTTGTGGTCCGCGGGAGGCCTGTGTAAGGGGGTTCATTGTACTTGGACTTGGACTCGGACAGACTAGTTAGTTAAGTCTAGCAGTCGCCGAGAACACTTGACTGAGAGCAGCGGGAATTCTGATAGTGACGAAGAAGCGTCTAGAGGACGTTATAAGGGACAATAATTGGGACACTGTGAAATGTGTAAGTGTAAAAGCGAGTTCCTAATAAACATTCGCCAAATCCGAGACCTACTTTAAGTTATGTAAAATTTTAGGGTTTCACGGCGGTGACTATGAAGAAACCAGGAGGAACGTATCCTCCGAAACGTCGGTTAACACAATATCTCCACGGCGCCACATCCCAGAAGACTGCTTTCTGCTTGAAGTTATTTGTCACGCCACACAGCCAACATGCGACAATATACTATACGAATTCTGTGAATACACATTTTTCAACAACCCAAAGACATTTGGTTGCCTCCAGAGCTCTCGATCAAAACATTCCTCGTCCTTAAGGTTTCTTGTTTGCATGTTACCCCTAATCTCCTCCCTCCGTGCGTTGAGTAGTCTGTTGTGCTTCCTTTTCCACTGTGGATTCCATTTAGCAACTTATCTAGCAATTCTGCACTCTCCTCCATTTGCATAACATGGCTGTACTATCGTAATTGCTATTCTTCTATTTCCTGTAAAATGGCCTTCTTCATCGAAATGACTGCCGCTGTAATTGTTAAAACATTAGATATTACATCCATTGTATTTTATCAGCATTATATGTATATACAGGTGGGTCAGAAAGAATGGATGGATTTCAAGCGACCGTTACGCCGTGACGGGGTGGCGGAGAGTGGGGCGGGTGACCGTTGGGTCGACGGGAGAATGCAGTTTCAGTTGGTAACATGGAGTGGTAGGGTGCACAGCGTGCGTTCATCGTAGAGACGTTTTTGAAAAATAGTCTGTGATCGCCGCTCAGCGAGCCTTCCACACTCATTTCGAGCTCGGACGTCGTGATAGAATTCCTACTCGGAACACAATTTTTCGATGTGTGGCTTCATTTCGTGCCACAGGTTGAACCTTAAAGAAGAAATCACCTGGACGGCCACAGAGAAGGACCGCCGTGCAGTAACCGTTACAAGTGCTCGTTATGTTGAAACGTTACAAAATTTCCTGCAGCCAAGGCTGAACGAGCTTGCTGTTGATGCTGAGGACATTTGGTTTCAACAAGACGGGGCCACTGCTCACACTGCGCGACTAACAATGGATCTCCTGAGAGGGCTCTTTCCGGAGCACATCACCTCGCATCGCGGTGACATTCCTTGGCCCGCACGACGTTCGCCCGATCTTGCACCCTGCGATTTCTTCCTTTGGAGCCATTTTAAGGCGGAAGTCTATAAACATCGACCACATACACTGGACGAGCGGAAAACAGCGATTCGAGAAGAAATCGCGGCGATTCCACCAGGTATCACCGCGAGAGTGATGAATAACTTCAGAAAACTCCTCGACGTCTGTATCAGAAGCCAAGGACGTCATGTGGATATTATATTCCAAAAATAAACTGAATGTATTTGCGAATCTGATGGTAACAATAAAATTGAGATTTAATGAAGCCTTACCAATTTTATTGCCATGTGAAATCCATTCATTCTTTCTGACTCACTCTGTATTTTAGCATACAAAAACATTCTGTAATAATGGCTTCCGATTGTATTGATGTCCCTCTAAGGATGGTCTGTAAAGACTGAAACAGGTAGGGGATGAAGGAATGAAATAAGAAAAATCTTTACTAGTCCCACTGGACAGAACTGTTTAACCTCATATGTTCTTACTGTTGATTTGTATATTAATAATTTTGTTGAATGTGAAATATTTCTATTCCATAAAACTGAAGTTAGCATGCTAATAACTCTTGTTGTTTCACTAATACTTTTTTTCAATTCCAAGGTCAGATAAGCCATTGACTTGAAGTATTGATCCAAAACTGTTTTGCAGTTGTAATTGTATTCCCAGTGGTTTGCAGTTCCTCTGAATTATCATTACCGAAATATTCTGTTTTCCCATTATATCTAAGGCCCCATTTCTCATATTCTTCCAGTTTTCTCCCTATGTAATTAGCATCGTCTACCACTCTAATAATTACAACTTGTATCGGCAAAGAGTAAGTTGTGCACATAGCTGTTGGCTTCAAGTTTTATTCCTGTTCATTTACATTTCCAAGACCAGTCTTTCAGTATTGTATCTGTGTATATTTTGAACGGGGTTGGTGACATTGGGAACCCTTGTAATAAACCCTTTGTGTTACAGAATTAATTTGACAAATTTGACCTTATTTTTATTCTTCATTTGTTATTGCTATACAGGGTGTTTCACGACTTTAGGGCATAACTGCAGGAGGTGATTTCCTAGGTCTTTGTGATCAAAAAAGTTCATGTAAACATGTGTCCGATTTTGGACAGTTATGGAGTTATGGCCGTTTTAAACTCAGAATAGAAGGTAACGATTGAAGAAAGCAGTCTTCTGGGATTTGGCACCGTGTATATGTGGTGTTAACCGACGTTTCGGAGGAACGTATCGCCTCCATCTTCAGGGTAGAAGAAAAAATATAAGAAATCTGCAAGCGAAGGGACCGTGAGAACCGATAAAAGCAGACTGTTGGAAATATACACAGCTATGTGAGAGAAGAGAAGGAAGGGGGGAAGGGCAAGTATACAAGTGAAAACAGTAGTGTGGGAGGGGGGAAGGGAGCTGGGACAAGCATGGTTTTTGTGTAGGGGAGAGAAAGGCAAGGTTAAAGGCTGGGCACTAACCCGTAAGC